TGGAGGTGCTTGGGACCAGTGAAACACGTTGGATGCAGGTTGGATAACAATGACTATCTTCAGGAGAGCTACTGTTATATTCCGGCCATGGAGAAGTAAATGTTCCATATACACAGAGTTTCACTGATTCTATCCAAAAAAGTACTTATATGATGGGAATCTCATGGACCAAGGATCATCAAAGCCTCCTTCAAAACAACGAAAAAAAAATCACAATGAACGTCATCCAATGTTATGTGCCTACCAAAGATTACAATGAAGATGTTAAAAATCCGTTCTATGATAGGCTTTAGTCAATCGTTGAGAAATGCCCAAAAAAGGACTTGGCCATTCTGATGGGAGAACTAAATGCTAAGGTTGGAATGTAAAACACCGGATATGAAGACGTCATGGGACGATATGAACTGGAAGAAAGAAACGAAAATAGTGCGAGATTTGTAAACCTATATGCCTTCAACAAACTGATCATAGGCAGAACCATATTCCCACACATACACAAAACCATACGGATTTCACCGGATCACACTACACAGAACCAAATCGACCATATCTGCATCAACGAAAAGTTCAGAAGGACGATGGATGATGTGAGAACCAAGATAGGAGCTGATATAACCTCAGATCATCACTTGCTAGTCGCCAAGATGAGACTGAAACTCAAGAAGAACTGGACAACGGGGAGGACATCACAAAAGTTTGATACAGCTTTTCTTCGGGATACTGACAAACTCAGCCCTCAGCAATAGGTTTCTGGCCTTTCACGATCTACTCAATGGAGAGGGAACTACTATGGAGAGCAACTGAAAGGGGTTCAAAGAGGCAATCACTCCAACATGTCATGAGGTTCTGGGCCACAAGAAGCACCATCACAAGGTATGGATCACTGTTAATACACTGGAAAAGATTCAAGAAAGAAGGAAAAAGAAGGCAGCAATCAATGCCAGTCGAACAAAAGCAGGAAAAGCCAAGGCACAAGCTGAATACACGGAAATAAACAAACAAGTGAAGAGGAGCATCAGAACCGACAAACGTAAATATGTGGAAGATTTAGCAATGACGGCATTAAAGGCTGCAGGAGAAAGAAACATGAGAGAACTGAATGATACAATAAAGATACTCTCTGGAAATCACCGTAAACTAGAACGACCAGTGAAAAGCAAGGGAGGCAGGGTAATCATCACCATTGAAGAACAACGAGACAGGTGGATAGAACACTTCGAAGAACTCTTGAATCGACCAGCTTTACTGAATCCGCTCGACATCAAGGCGGCAGCCACGGACTTCCCAATCGATGTTAGCCCACCAACAATTGAAGAGATAAGCATAACCATCAGACAAATCAAGAGTGGTAAAGCAGCAGGACCAGACAACATTCCAGCACAGGCACTGAAAGCAGATGTAGCAGTAACTGCAAGGATTCTCCACATACTCTTCAGCAAGATTTGAGATGAAGAACAAGTACCAACAGATTGGAAAGAAAGACACCTAATCAAGAAAGCAAAGAAAGGTGATCTGATCATGTGTGATAACTACAGGGGCATCACTAATTTCCCAATACCGGGAAGTCTTCAACAGGGTATTATCAAACAGAATGAAGGACTCCGTAGACGCCAAACTTCGGGATCACCAGGCTAGATTCCGTAAGGATAGATCGTGTACAGACCAAATCGCAACACTATGGATCATTGTAGAACAACCAATTAAATGAAATTCATCACTTCAAATCAACTTCATTGACTACGAGAAAGCATTCGATAGAGTGGACAAAACAACACTATCAAGGCTTCTTCGATACTGCGGTGTGCCTTAGAAGATAGTCAATATCATACGGAATTCCTAAGATGGATTAAACTGTGAAATCGCGAATGGAGGACAGCTCGCAGATTCGTTTGAAGTAAAGACCGTGGTCGGGCGAGGTTGCTTACTCTCACCCTTTCTCTTTCTCCTGGTGATCGACTGGAGCATGGAGACGTCAACATCCGGGAGGAAGTATGGGATACAGTGGACAGCTAGGATACAGCTGGACGATCTAGACTTCACATATGATCTGGATCTTCTATCGCACACGCAACAACAAATGCAGAAGACGACAAGTGTAGCAGCAGCCTCAACAGCAGTAGGTCTCAACATACACAAAGGGAAAAGCAAGATACAACACTACATGCACCAATCGAACCACACTTCACGGAGAAGCTTTGAAGATGTAAAAACCTATACATATCTGAGCAGCATCGTTGATGAGTACGGTGGATCTGATGCATATATGAATGCACGAATCGGCGAAGCAAGAGCAGCATATCTACAACTGTCAGCCAACACCAAAGTCAGAATTTTTAATATAAATGTCAAAACAGTTCTACTGTATTGATATTGATTTTCAGAGTTAATCAATTGTTATCTGAAGTAAGTAGAGAGAGAGAGATTCGATCTCGGTGATCGAAAGTCTGGTATTCTAATCTTTAAGTCATCATTTTAAAGCAATTTGTGTTTCAAACTGACTATATCAGTAATCATATGATTGAGCATTAAAAGTAATTTGTCGATTTAGCTCTTAAACGTCCTACCTTTCCTATGAAACAAATTTTTTTTGGTTTCTGTTATAATAAAATAAATACGGCTTCAAATTTGATAGTGTCAATTATTCTTAAAGACTTTTTGATAATATGAAATACATAAACCGACCAAATAAAAGTATTTTAATCTTTAGAAAATTTAATCGTATGTACGCTAAATACTATCATTTAGTAATTCAACTACATTATCACGCCATTTTATTTAAAAAAAGGATTCAGAAAAGAGTATGACAAGTGATTTCCTCTAAATTACTGGTTTGGTCATATATAGCTTTCTTCCAACCTACTCCTACACCGGCCAGCATTATACTCCGACTTATTCTAACCACCTGTCGATGAAGATTTACAACCGATTTGCTATGGTAGGTATTTCCACAAAATGCAGGTAGCAAACCAAAGAGAAATATGATCAAAAGCCTGCAGTATACATATATCTTCTACCTTAATAGATCAAGTTTCAAAATCACAGAGTATTGCAGTATTATCAGTATGGGGTTATGGAGATTGTTAAGTTTTTGATTGAGATCATGAAGCAACTGATGTTAGACCACCATTGAAAACCTGGAAGCATTGGATGGCCGTTTCGTCCTAGTATGGGACAACTCAGCATCGCGCACCCACGACTTGAAGAATTTGCAATTCAAATGCAATCCATTCATAAATCTGATCTGGAAACAGATTAAGGAAGTTCAAAATGACCTGACTACTAATTAATAATCAACAACTATCATTACTATCAGTATTACATTATTGATTGCGGTGGATATTTCTTAACACGTGAACTATTATACACTTCCTTTAGGGATGACCATAGTTGCCAAGGCAAATAAATAGTGAGAAAACTGGTCATAATAATAAGTAACATCACTCACCAACCACATAAAAGACTAACGAATTTTGGTTGGAAATTGAAGGTGTTGAGACCTAGTGATACTGATTAATCACTTAAACACTGTTAAGCAGAACAGACTTAGCACGCATAAATTCGGTGATTGACAATCGAGTATCCGAATCAAGAATAAAACATCTTCGAAATTAACGAGAATCTTTTCGCACAACCGATAATCTATTAATTAATCTGTATATATCCATGTTAAAAATATACCATAATAACTGGCTATAACCCATAACTACAGTAGTATAAGGGAATTCACCAATGAACAATTATCTTTTAATATAGAGGATTTGTGGGGAGCATAGAATTCTCAGTTTTGGATCACCGACTGGTAGTAGCTAGATTACCACTGAAAACGTGAACGGCCAGTTCTTCTAATATGGTACTCCTAAGCGGTGCATACTCACAATCTCATGGGAAAGAATCGAACCCAGGACCACTCGGTCCCAAGCGCGGGCGCCTAACCTCGACACCACTGAGCTGGGATTCAATAGTGTTAATGTATGAGTAAGATCATTTCGTCATTTTTTTGATAAGAATGCAACTGTAGTTTTTAAAATATACTGTTTCAAAGTAACGTTGTAAGATGGAATTGTAGTGTGCTTTAATGATCATTTACTGATTGAAAAAATTAGCATATTGTTACCTACACGCTTAATAATAGCAAGTTTCCTCAGATATATAAACACCACGTACAAATTAAAGATTCAAAAAGTTTGGTGTACTAATATTATCGTTTAATCATAATCATCTCTTTTTGATAATTCACAACTGTATTATACGACGTCAATTACAGATCTTGCGCATACACTTGTATCAACTTAGATTTATATACTAAATTTAGTAATCTTAATTAGACGAAGAATAAATGTACTATATGTTTTCTTGTTGTCTAAAATGGACTAAATCTGTTAGCTACGACTTTCATATGCCACAAAACTATTAGAACTAAACAGTTATAAAGGTCATTTTTAATATAAGTAAACGATGAGTCGTAGAACCTCGATATATTTTATTTTTTTAAAGAAACATTACAAATTAGTTTTTTACGTAACTTAGCGAAATCTACTGAAACACCTAAATATTTAAACCATTGAAGTCAAGTGAGGTTTCTATCAGTTGAAGAGGAGTTGATCAATATCGAGCACTGGACAACAATTTCAACTTATTTGCACAATCTTAAGAGGTTTCACTGCTACAGCCCATACATGAGATCGAGCATATTTGTTGGCGTGTATACTTCCTGGGTGTCACTAAAGGGGAGAAAAAACATTTGTTCAGTGTCACTTGATTTTCAATGATCCTCCAGATGATACAAATATGATTCAAAGACCTTCTTAAATCTTCTAATATAATCCTAAACAAAATAAGTATTTGTCTCCTTTCTTTACAATATGTGATTTGTAAAATATTCTAGTAAGTAGAGAAATAGATTGGTGAAGTTTCGCTAATTTGTTTGAGTCGTTTCTTCAAAGAATCGAGAAAGAAAGCGACTTATATGCTAAGCAAAGCATTAACAAAATATGACTATTACTGGTGAAATGGGCTATTATTAATTAATCAATTTTCAGCTCGAAAAACAGTGTAAAAATTAAGAAATGGTACAGGCAGAATCAGTTATTGAATGACCAACCATAATAGCTCATAATTATGATAAATATATGCATATCTGCACAGAAACAAAAAAAGCATATTTGACAGTCACATTACTACAGAAAATCCAACAACTGTTTAGTTCAAACAAACCAACAAAACAATGCTCGGTAGTCGTATAACAACGAAGTACTGAAACTGTTCAGATAAAATCCTGAAAACAAGAGCATATATATAAATTATATGATTATCATTTTTAGAAGGCAAACGCCTAAGAATAACAACGACAGAAACAGGAACACATACATAACCACAATCAGTAAAGTAATAAAGTATTTTAGCTAGAGAACAAATGTAATGTAACACAAAAATAGGATATGTTTGAGAATGAAAACATAAATTAGTAGAAAAGGTAAAAATCAGTGAAAAAAGACATGAAGGTAAGACACAAAAATACAAGTACACTTAGCAAACATCACAATAATAGCATTGTTTTATCGAGATAATCTTGATAACTATATCTTAGAGAAGAAAGTAGGCTATAACAATTTGAAGATAGATAATGTAACTCTATGGAGAAAACAAGCAACAATCGATGGATAAGTAAATAAAATAAAACGTGGACAAATTTTCAGGGGGCGAGATGATTTACGAGCAATAAAATTTGTTCAAATAAAAACAACAACAAAAAGAACGGAAAATGATAATACAATGATGATAATCACATTTTACAGTTTTAAGTTTCTGATGTCATACGAAGTAGTTCATTGATAACAACTTCTCGATTTCCATGATGTGTTGTTAAAAGTGAGTGAATGGTATCATCTTCAACAGATGGGAAAATTTCATGTATTGATTGAACATCTTCAGTAGATATTGGTTTAGGTAATACTGTCATACCACCGATTTCACCTAGTCGTGGTTGACAATCTAGAAAAAAGGTATCAAATGTAAATAACTAATGAGGATAATATGATCTCATGTTAAAAGATATTAAACTATTGATTCTGGGTCCAAATAGTGATTGCAACTATCATAAAGAGTAGATCTAAAGCGCTGAAATCCCTGATTGAAGACTGGCTTAATACCGTTTGTTGGATTGACTAAGTTATCAAAAAGAACAATCCTAAGAGATATGCATTTAATTATTTATCAATATGCATACTTATTCTGCAGTTTCCATTTATGGGAACAAAATTCTGTGATATCGTAAAATTAAGGAAAGTTTGCACACAGATTCTAACTGAAAACTTAACACGTCAGAAAAAGCCTTCAGCTAGTCTCCAATCAGGAATTTCAACGCCTTAAATTAACTCTTCTAGGAAGTTACAACTGATATATTTCAAGAAATACTTTTTGTGAATTTTTATTTAAGTAGGAGTAGACTGTTTGGTTTGGATATACGAGATAAACGTAATCTATGAGTGTAGATCTTAACTTAAATGGTATAACATAGGTAAGAGTGGGATATGTACATTTATTTCCTGTCCTACTCTAGTTCATAAGTTTTATTTGTTGATTATTTTCGTAAAGGATATTCTTTATTACATGTCAAAATTATATTTGAAATAATCTCAGAGATTGAAATTTAAAATAATTCCAACGTTTCGTCAACAAGCATAAACCAGGGTATAGTCCTAACCAAAAACAAGGACTACACATCATGTGCAAAGCAGTCTAATGGTTATATACATAGTCGTTCAAATCGGTGTAAGTGTAATCAATGTAAAGCAAATGATTGATAGTAGAACATGAGAACCACTGAACTATTGATCTATACTATAAGAAACAGACAAACAAACGGAACTAAACCAATCAGACTTACATAATGGACTGGACTGTAGAACTGGAAGGTTTACTGGTACTTTCTACAAATAAAATTTTAAAAAATGAAATAAAGTCACAGGAGAATATAACAAACTCTATTTAAATAAAAATTGTTGATACAATAAGGTAAGACTGAGCAAGTCAATAAAGCATTAATTAGTAAGGTTTGGATTCTCCCGTTGTTAATATTCTGAACTAAACTAATCAGTAATTAATACTAATATATAGAGCCCTTAAAGTCAACAATATTTCTCAATCGGTAGTCTCTAGATAAGAATCTGGAAATATACACTAGATTAGTTTTTCCGTATATATTTAAATGAATTGAGGGACCTAAATGTGTATGTAATTGGGCTTCCCATCTTTCGCTTGTACCAGAAGGGTTTTCAATGTTCAGAAGAGAAAAGAAGAAGGATATATTCACCTACCTTTACATTTTGATAAATATTAGTCAGCAGTAATTTCTAAGTACATTAATTTAGTCCCCTATCTTATTCGAATTACTATTACATTGTGAATGTAAACTCACTTTTAGACGTATTTGTATTTAAACTGTATTCCTTAACACTTCTTATTACTTTCTATGGATTTTCCTTTACCTTTTTCTTTGGAAGTATACTGCAATAGGACAAAGGAATAATATTATCTGATGAAAGTTACTATGCTACCAAACTCTAAACCTAAGGTTGGTGTTTTTCTCACATAAAGCCTGCATCCCATTACAAAACAAAATAAAAAGTTGACAATTTATATTGAGTCACTAGTATTTGGTGAAACTACATATAGACTTGAGACATATGCTGTGAACCACAAACCTGACACTTGTGATTGCTAACAATACCACTCGGTTATTGATAAGAAATTAATAGAGGAAAATTTAAACAAGCCACCAAAAAGAACCGGAGTCCAACGAGAAAGGCGCAATAAAACCCCATGTATAAAAATAAAGCTGTCACATATTATAATCACAGAAAAAGTAAAAATCCAAAGTACTGAGAAGAGAGTAAAGGAATCTGATCGGTTACCGAGGAAAACCTTGAATAATAGAATGATTAGGCTCTGCATTCATGAGTGAAGCGAATAACTGAAAATTGCACGCAACAGTCAGCAATATTGGATGATTAGACCAAAAATATTTTGACGAGAGGTATTTAGGTTTGGTAAAAAACGATTTTCTAAGGGATTTATTCAAACTGATTTAATCTAAAAAGTAAAACTACTTAATTCAAGCAGAAACTGGCCTGGTATTCAAGTAACCCAGTAATGGATAAAATTAGAGCAAGTACTTGGAGGGGTCACAATTGGAGTTGAGAGTGAATAAGCTAAATGAAACCTAACTGTTAGATGGTGGTTGGAGGTAGTCGACTGGTAACCCTGGACCTGGGTTTCGTGCTACTTGGCACTCGTCAGCAAGGTGTACCTGTAATCTTGAGGGAATTAGTGTTCCCTGACGGACTCGACCCCGTGTCCCCCAGCCTCACAGCCAGAGACGTTACCACTGAGCTATCCGGGTCGCGACCGACCTCCTGTAGGACTGAGACGTAATCACAATTGATTGATCACCACCCAGCGATCAATCAATTGTGAAACCAAACTGTGAAACCTTATTAAAGTTTACCTCTAAAATAGAAACGTTTAAGTGTACCGCTGACAAAATTAAACTTAAACAAGAGAAATGATTGTTGGGTATTAAGCGACTTTGAACTAATTAACTGAATTGTTATGACTGGTTTTCAACAATTTATGTGACTCAGTAGTAGACAATATATCTGTCTAAAGCGAGGATTTTCAGCATATGTAAGCCTACCAATCAGATCACATCAATCTAAGCAGTTTGTTTTCAGAAATCACAGTAGAATTTGCAAATCAATAAAAGTAGATAATCATTTGTGTAAGTGTTAGTTTACAATTGTGAGTGAGCAATAATAAGATCAGAACAGTAGTTTGGATGAATCAATAAAGTTGTATTACAAAAAAAATGAAAAGCACATGCTGTTAATGAATATTCAACTAATATGCTACATTCATGTACACAAATATATATACATACAAATCGACCTTAAAAACGGCATTTTATGCATCAGTAAATAGACAAGTCACATAAATTATCGGTCTTTTATTTTGTTTATTTCTTCATAAACAAAACCATAAGTCAAAATAGTGAATATACTAAAAATAACCAGAAGAAGGCCTCGTATTACTGGAAAACCAATGTAAACAAATAACAAATATTAACGTACAAATAAGCTCAGTACCTACGTTAATAAAGCTCATATTAGGAGATACTTACATCAATAACTAATATACACAAGCAGATGACTATGGTGAAATGCTGTCTTTTAATCACCTTAAAGTGTTGAGCACTTAAGTGAGATTTGATAAACAGAGATGAATAAAAAGATGTCAGAATTACTGTTGATACTCGCCAAAAAGCTGTCAGTTTATAAGCAGATGTATAGAGAGCTCTAGAAATTCTAATAATACGAGTAATATTAGGGAGAATGCTATGTAAGAATCTTGAGACACTTCTAGAAAGGTGAGCAAACTGAGGACCAACATAGGCTTCCAGTCTTTTGTCCGCAAAGCATAAATCATTTTGTCGATTTTCAATTGTTATGTGTATTGTGGCAACTTGAGTAGATAAATGATAGGACCAGATCCTATATTATGTACATCAGTTCTAATCATTAGGTAAATTAATTGAATGAATGTATACGAATGAAGTATAAAACCACCTTCAGAATTGAAGGAGAAAGAATGGAGGTTGATGGACTGAATATGAGGAGTGAACCAGAAGAAAAATTACCATGTTCGTATCAAGCTGATAATGAATTCTTTCTGGAAAAGTAAGCCAAGCTGAAGTTTCTTGCTAATTAGCGAAACAAAGAGACATAAGTTTTTGCCTATCGATGATTTTGAAAGCAGTTGCATTGGAAAGGAAATGAATGACCCATAGTTCAAATTTTTTTGTGATATGCATATTGAATTGAGTGCATGCAAACACCTTATATTTTCAGATGTTTGTTTTGCAAATATATATGAACTTGTAACAAAAGACAGATATATGTCAGTGTATGGTTGATAAAAAAGGAGGACGAAATTGGTAGTTGAATAGATTCTCAGTAAGAAACCACTTAGTTTTTTGTTAATTACTTGTTATAATTCGGTTTCCTAATTTTAACGACTAAATAAATAACAATCATGTTGATTAGTGTAAATGAAAATTCAAGTTAATAATAAGTTTAATTGGCTTACTCGACATCGGAAAATCAGATTTATTGAACCTTCTAAATCTTTTCCTTGCTTTCCACTGAGCGAAAACCATTGATTTAAAGCAACACCATCAAATAAAGATGGAGGGAAAATTATCACAGCATTAGCTACTTGTGAATCGGAAAATAAGACATTTTCTGAAAACACTTCTACTGTTAATCTGTCAACATCACCATGTAACCAACTAAATTTAATAAAATTAAAATAAACGAATTAAAAAGAAAATATAAACAAAATTTAGTACATGAAAGTACTTATTACAAGAATGTTATCTAATATCAATAGTTCAGATCATGAGTCAATTGGAGCTAGACCACTATGGAAAACATGGGAGCAATGGACGGCTGTTCCGTCCTATTGTGAGACTCCTCAGCAGTGCGCATCCATGACCCCGTCTCGCGGGATTCGAACCCAGGACCTATCAGTCTCGCAAGCGAGCGCTAGACCACTGAGCCAGCACACCAAACGGTGTTAAAGTCTAACTTAAACTAATCCACGAAATAGAGTGACACATCCACCATTGTCATCAGTGAGTTACTATCTCACAACAGACATGATTATTGACAGAGATAAATTCTTTCATTCAGAACAATGAATAAAAGCTCATCAGAATTTAATTAAAACAAAAAATAATTATGACAGAATAAATAATTTTCTATTTGAAAAGACAAGTATATGAACGTAGAATATTCTTTTCAATAATTTTTCATCATGTTCTACAATTATAAATCCAAATTAATAATCCATAAATTGGCCAGAATTAAAGTAGAGTACATCATTTGAAAAGAGAAAATGAATTCAAGTTAATATGAAATTAATGCATTTACATAGATTATAAACCTTTAGAACTCTTTAATTTTAGCATTTTCATTATGCGATTAGTGAATAAAATTTTAACTCGACAAGTATAAATTTATATTTTATACCATGACTGACAAATTCAGTTTTACAACCAAACTTATTACAACACAACAGACCAAATAAAAATAGACTGAAAGGTATAGTCCAAAGATTGTCAGTTGTCTTATATCAATTTAGTTGTATTAAATACTAATCGAATATAGGAAAGTTTAAACATTGTGTACATAACAAATCCCATTTACTTGCAATGATACTTTTATACCTTTTCAGAATCTTACTGATAAAGTATGATTTATTGTTTAAGATTTTCCGTCAATGGACAATAGAATTTAGTTTCATAAAAGTGGAAACGTCTCAACACTAGCCCCGTTTTGATGGCAGTAATTATATACTAACAAATAAAACTCACCATTGGAATGTTTCATTCCAAAAAGGACGTTTGCCAGCTGAAAGTGCAGTCTGAGTTTCGAAGATGGCATCCCCAATGCGAATTCGACAGTAAAGGTTCATAGGAAATAAACCATAATTTTTAACAAGACGAGCCTAAAACATGTGAAAATGAAAACATACTAGTTAGTTTGACAGTTGACTTAACCAGCTATTTAGAAGCAAATTTAGTTAACGAAACTGACAACCTCATAAATTAGCATTTACGTTTTTACGTTTTTCATAGTGGGTACAGACGTGGCTGTGGTTTCTGGATAAGATTATCGATCAAAAAGTCATGAATTAATTAGAATTCTATCAATCTTCACTATAATTCATAATTACACGAGAAAGCTTATATCTCGCAAAGAGTGTTCTAAAAAGCAGGAGGTTAAACAAATGAAGTTAGATTGTTCATCCTCAGCACTTCTCGTTACCACAATACAACGGAGAATGCTGAACAGGATTACGGTACTTTCAGTCTTCAGTAGGTATGGAGATATCTTGTTAGTACTTGAAATAATGTCATTTGCAAAGTGCCAACTAAACTTCATGTATATAGACTGAGATAACAATTAGTCTTATTTCATTGACTAGTGTATATTCAAAACTACATAAAAGCGAAAATAGAAAGAGGATTCAATGAACACGCAAATTTTAGTGCTACAAACATGTTCCGACCACTGTAAAGTCTGTGGAGAAGCCCATCTACTTTCGATGAGTAAGATTTGATATATGTGTTATGACGATGAACGCTACCCCTGAGACAAGTAAGATGAAGTAAATAAGGAACTTTAGGCCCCAGACCATAATCACAAATTTAAAGGTTAGTTTACTCAATAAATGAAGACACATAATGATATTCAAAATTGACTGATCACCGAATAGTGACTAATTCCATCTTTGTTTAGACCCCCAAGATTAAAAGTACAAGTACTGAAAAAACAAGAAACCTAGACATAGGGTTTTCTGATGGCTAACTTCAACCACCCAACACGTAACGATATGAATAAAAGGTTTCTGTAGAACTGTATGAAGTATACTTTATAGGCATAGTCATTGCAAATTACGTGAGTTATTTACATCCATGCATCCGACAGAGCACTTTTTCCAATCGTTAGATCAACTGGAATGATATTTGAAATACGTGAATATCAAGAGACGAACTGTAGGAGAAATATACAGGGTAGTAACAAAGGGAAAGATAGATGCATTTGTACGAGGACAATTAAAGTTTAAGCTTTTATTGATATCATTGTTCAAGCAGAAGATAACAGTAAATTAGAAACAAAGTTCAGCGAAGGGATCTATTTTCAATGAATTTATTACCAAGCTGTACAATCATATATATAATCATATGTCAACATTAAATTACAGTGATCATGACTGTCTGTAATTACAAAGAATACTGTGTTTTTCTTTTTGAAGTGGGGATAATACTGTCAAGATGTACTGTTAATAAGACGGATGTAACATGATTAGTTATGTCGAGTGAATAACAATACACAAAGACATTCGACGACAGCACAACTGGATGCATATGAGGAGATTGGCTTTTACAAGGCCTTAGTAAAACGGATTTTACTAAACATAATGATTTTCAAAAGGTTTGCATTACATTAAGTAAACGTTTCCCGTATGAACTGCATAAACATTATAATCCACTTATCTCACGTAACCAACATGGAAGAGCATTTACAGACGGTGTCATTCCATTTGGTTAGCTACAAGGAGATCGATCCTCAAATGCCCTAGTAAGGTCGAGAGTGGGAAAAGCCAGCTCTCCCTCTCGAAACGCTCTCAAGTGACCACGTACATAAAACCACTGCCAGGAAAGCCCTACTCACTGCATTTTAGTGGTATTTCTGTTGTTTACGAAATTGGGAGGACGAAAAACGAATGTCCGGAGCTTTAACCGGGTTGGTGGATACGAAGGGTTCACCTAGGGGAGTTGGGAAACCCTGATTCCAAACCGATGGTGTATATGGGCTCTAGTATCCTGAAGGAACAAATGGCGTATGAACCAATTATTGGTCACCGGCTACCTTGGGACTGCATCTCCTTACGTTGCTCCACTGCCTTGTGGATCATACCTTCAGGCCGAAGGCTCCGAGTGTGGCCCCCTAAGAAAACCACCTGTGTAGAGTTGGGCACCCAGGCAGTATCCCAGCCCTCACACAAATCGAATGATTTATGTGACGCATATCTGTTTGGTGCCTGTTTGTACCAATGTTTATGTGTTTAAATAAATAACTAAATTTCACAGATGGCTACCGATGTTTACAGTTAATAATGATTTTTACACATCCTGAGTATCAACGATTCGAATTTGAAATCCCCAACGGCAATCACTTATCATCAACTATCTAAATGAACAGATATTCCAACCCAACTGCTTGATCGCCACGGCCACAACTCCAAGCTAACTTTAAACGGTATTTCAATGTCTAAATATCATATACTTCGACTGACAACAAAGTTAAGAAATATTCATTAAACGAACTGAAAGCCAAGCTCTACACTGGGATTAACTGACCCAAAGCGAGTTTCAGGATTTTGTATCAAGTGTTTGGTTGTTGAGTATTTACCGATTGGAGTATTATTAAGATTATCTATGAACGCTTATAATGCAAGTTGTTGCTTCAGGACTGGCCTGCGTCAACACCTGAACTAAGGGTAGGCAGTGAAGAAGTCGAACGCGCCGAAAACTTCACTTACCTTCAAAGTCTGATCAGTCCTAATAGGTTGGTGTCTGACGAAATTTCAGCACGGATTCAAAAAGCTTGTTTAGCTTTTGCCGAGTTGCGTCACCTATGGCGAAGGTTAGATATCTGTCTATCGATTAAGGGACGAGTATACTGCGCGACAGTTCGTTCTGTTCTAATTGGCGGCTGCGAAACATGGCCATTAAGGGTGAAAGATACTCGTAAGCTACTAGTAGTTGACCACAGATGGCTTAGAAATATTGCCCGCATATGCTGGGATAACCGGGTAAGTAATAGTGAAGTTAGACGCAGGGTATTAGAAAATGATGGCAAATCAGTTGATGAAGTTGTGAATCTTCATCGATTGAAATGGTTTGGTCACGTGTTATGTATGCTTGAACACCGATTACCACGACGCGCAATGCTGACTAGTGTTGGGGATGGTTGGAAGAAAGTAAGGGGCAACCAAACCAAAACGTGTCTTCAGTTCATAAATTAATTGCTTGAGGTCACTAACTTCTGTTCTGAGCCATGTTGGTAGATGCAGACTACTTGGTTGCGGTCCGCGTGACTATCATAACCAATGGTTGGAGACTCTATGTGACATGACTCAGGTGTATACACTCTTTGTCTTCCTTTAAACTAAGAGATTAAAATCGCTTCATATTTTTCTTTCTATCAACTAGTTCTTTCTTCCTGTACTTTATTCTTATCACTGATTGAAATCATGAGTCAATTAAAGCTAGACCACTATGGGAAACCTGGAAGCACTTGGCGGCCGTTTCGTCCTCGTAAAGGACTCCTCAGCAGTGCGCATCCACGATCCCGCTCGCGGGATTCGGGCCCAGGGCATTCAGTCTCGCGCGCGAAGGCTTAACCTACTGGACCAGGTCTGTTGTGAGATATCAACTCACTGAAGACAATGGTGTACGGTGGAGCAACTTCGTGGATTCGTTGAAGTTAGACAGTAACACCGTTGGATGCCGGCTTAGTGGTCTAGTTGGTTAAGCGCCTGGCTGATAGGTCCTAGGTTCAAATCTCACGGGGTGCGGGATCCTGGATGCGCACTGCTGAGGAGTCCCATACTAGGACGAAACGGCCGTCCAGTGCTTCCAGGTATTTCATGGTGGTATAGCTTCAATTGACTCATGATTTCCATCAGTGAAATTTCTAAAATCTCCACAAAATCCCTTTTGACTATATTTTTATACACAATTTTTCCTTTTTATATTATTATCATTGAATTAACTACTGTGAATCCCGTGTTCATCTTGTTGTGCTAATGAGGTATGGCAACCTGGACCGATAAATATATGTCCATGATCCTACGTTGTGGCTGACTGACTTATAATGGGAAAGTGACTTTAATGCATGTTTCAAAAAACATCAGTGATTTAGTACTTGTGATTATCTTTGCTTTTGTGTTAGCAGCTATGTCTCACACCATATCACGACTGAAAGATCACCTGAAACGTGGATTTAAAAAAAGTCAGTGATTTTGTCCGCTATATCTAATAACCAATATATTTGTCACAAGCTTGCATAAACTGATTGATTTGTTCGCTCTTGCTTCTTGTTATTTTGGTAAGGTCTTAGGTATTTAGTAATATCTCATGGATTTTTTCTACCTTAAAAATCCTGCCACCATAAACTTTTCAGAAAACTTCCCTGTCTCATGCATCAACGACAACCGTAACCGGCAAAAGTGGCCATCTATCATACATAACTGATGTGATGACGATAGACTGTCATCTCGTCAACACGAGCAGGAAGAAACGTTCGTCCCACGAATACTAGGGACGGTTTACACGAATAAGTCTTCATCTTATAGACGGTAGACGGAAACCTGACCGTCACCTTCGATAAGATATATGTTCAACTTGTCGTGGGTTTCCACAAACCAATTCACCAGATTTTCTTTACGGCAAACGTTTTTTCGCTAATCATTGGTATAAACCTGATACAACACCGTAATCTAATGATCCACTCAAACAAATCAAAGTATTAGGAACTTCATTTTCGTGTTTTAGCTTATATTAAGTCAAGGTTAAGCAGAAACTAGATCTATACCTTAAACGGATGCTCAACAACTACCATGAACTTAAAAACACACGAACAAAGCTGCCGTGTGATAGCAGCTATGCTACACATCATATCACGACTAAAGGATCACCTGAAACGTGGATTTTAAAAAAAGTCAGTGATTTTGTACTTGTTGTGATTATCTTTGCTTTTGTTTACTTGTCGCATCAAAAAGCACTCTTGGTCTACTTTAAATTGAAGTATTTCCGTTAAGGTTTGAAATTTTGCTAAACTTTGTCTTGTAGTACTTTCTTTCTCATGGACTCTGACACTTGCGTTCAGAATGTGTTTTAAACATTAATCTGATTACAGTAGTCGGCAGTACTTATAAGTATGGACAGCTGAATTGTTTATTCCCCATGGATGAAGGAATGCAATGCGATGAATGTAATAAGTGGTTCCATAAGATGTGTACCCGCTTAAGTCCCACCGCATTCAAAAGATGCTCGAAGCCAAACTCGAATTGGCTTTGTATATTTTCCTGTACGAACAAAACATTACTAATCCAGGAGGCTATGAGCATATTATCTTTGACCTGTAAGAAGAAAGATGATGGAATGAAAGCGAAAAAGCTATAAGATACAACCACTTGGTTGGCAAGTGATTGATGAACTCCCATTCTGGGTCATAAACACACTACCAAAATCTGATAGTAAGACAGAACTCCACCCTGGCGTGGCTGATGAGAATTTAATCTCATCGAATATTATTGTAGGTAATTTGCTGTTTAATATGCCCGAGGCAGGCCAGACTGCCAAGAGACTGGAAAGACCCAATGATTAGTCTGATGTATAGAGCGGGCAACAGAGACTCAATAACTATCGACCCGTTAGTCTAACCAGTGTAGCTGTCAAACTAATGGAGAGATTATTCGAATGGCTGCTATAAATTATGTAGAAGGGCATTAGACATCGATGTCAAACGCTTCGGGTGTGGCACCCTAAAAACACCACCTGCTTCGGTCTGGACACCCGTGCAATATCACAGCCTACTCACAAATCAAGTGACATATGGCGCACACGTATTTGTTGCTTCTTTGTACCAACATTTATGTGTTGAAAAATAAATAAATAAAATTTCAGTATTTGGACTAAACAATGTTGAGATTATAATATCCGACTTTCGTGAGACCGCACTTGGAATATGGAATTCGAGCAACGGGTCCTTGTTTCAAGTACGAGGCGGATATGCTAGAACGAGTCCAATGACGAAGGATAGAAACGGTAGATCACTCTGGCCTATCTGATCAAGACAGACTGATACAACAACTTATTCCCATTATCTTACCGTAGATTACGAGGTGATCAAATATTGGCTTATTGTATAACGAACGGTGACCTTGATATTATTATGTCTTATCTTTCCCTTCCGTCTAGGACTGATCATTTGAGAGGACATCCTAAGAAATTTTAAAAACCGAGGTCATATCGTTGACGTCTGGAGTTTTGTTTCTTGCACCGATTGGTGAATTACTGGAATTCCCTACCAAAACACATATCAGCACCCTCTATCGATATATTTAGAACGAGACCGATCCTCTACAGTGCTACGAACTGCAAGGATTATTATAAATCGATAGACCTATCCGGCGAGACTCTAATTTAGCGACGAGCCAATCAGAAGACAGTATAAAGTAAAAATATATTGCAAGAAAGTAATGAATTACAGTGGATATTCTTCTTTCACATGATTTAAAAACTTGTTGAGGTTTGATAAATGCTCAGTTCTAAATTCATAATGCGTATTGTATAGAAACCCGTCCATAGGGTTAGGGTTTGTGGTTAAGGGCTAGGTTAAGGTTAAGGGTTAAGGTTTAGGGTTAGATTAGGGTTTATGGTTAGGGTTGGGGTTAGATTAGGGTTTAGGGTTAGGTTAAGCTTAGGGTTTAGGGTTAAGGTTAGGGTTAGGGTGCTAACATGCGATCGGTTTACATCGGATTTTAGAGAAGAGGTGTTTTTTTAACAGGCCTCAACCCCGCCCTGACCCTAACCATAACCCCAAACCCTCACCCCTAACCTCTAAAATCCGTTGTAAACTGATCGCATGTTAGCAGCCTAATCCTAGAATATAACCCTAACCACTAACCCTATGAACGAGTTTCTATACCATATGCATTATGAATTCAGAGCCTCTGAACATTCATCAAACCTTAACAAGTTTTTAAATCATGTAAAAGAAGAATATCCACTGTAATTCACTACTTACTTACAATATGTTCTCACTTTATACTAACTGTCTTCTGATTGGCTAATAATTGTCAAGGTCATTTAAGATTCGTTCAAAGGTCGTCGCTAATTTAGAGTCTCGCCACCTATCCTTATTACTGAAGACTAAATACGATTACTGAAAATACAAAAGCTTAGAAAACTACGGTTCTTGTTATCAAAAGCTCAAAAAGAGCATACAAGACATGCCAATATGTATCTTGAATGGCTTTTATGAAACGATAAAAGTGACTAAGTCAAGGTCCTATACGAGATGGTATGAAGTGAGATGTCAAATTTCGGAGTAATGAAAATCAGCTCGGAAATGATTTATCACGCCAAATACACACGCACTAACCTCTCCATTGTAAATACCAGTATTGATGCTGATGGGAACAAGATTTCGTACCCATTCATACGACTGAGAATGCTTACCATTAAAATATAACTTGCATGATCATTGAGATTCTATTAAAATTATACACATACATATGTCAGCCTAGTCACAAAAAACAGGTCTGAAAATATGGTAAGCTACACAAACACTTTCAAACCAGGTATCAAACAAACAAATAGATAATGATTCACCTGAGAGACATCCAAATGTAATAATAACTGTTCTTTGACAGGGGGCACTGAAATAATAGGGTCGCCTTCATGTTTTGATTTACAGCTATTTTCAACAACGTTGGAAGGCTTTTGGACCGAATTATTTGATGAATTCGACGGTTTAACGTCAGGACTTGATAAGTCTAACAAGTCTACTTCGTGATCTTCAATAGACATCCTTGAAGTAACGCATTAATACTTGATACCGCAACACTTTGTAGGGTATCAATATTAAGCAGTAAAGTATTAAACGTTAAATAAGTATCTGTATATGTTGCCGTCCAAACCTTTTAGCTTCTCATATTAAATATTCGTACTTGGCTGCCTACATCTAGCTCAAAAACTAAGTTACAAATCATTCTTAATTTGTATGCATGACACTCCTCAGCAGATATCGTCTGATTTATCGCTTTTTGTTGGTGATTAAAAACTCTGGAGAGAAGCTTGCAACCAAGACGATAGCCTGGCACTTCAGGAGGATCTGACTTGTTTTCAGAGTTGAGCGGACAACAACGGACTTACTCTTAACACTTCATAATGTAAAGTAGTACTTCCGAGACATGCGCAGATTGCGAATATAACTTAGCAGACTACCTTCAAGAAGTGTCTTAACTGAAAAACGTTTGGGAGTGTCGGTACACAATGATCTTAAGTTTTACGCTAACCGTGACAGAATGTTTTTTGTGCAGACCGTGCATCGATAACGTTGAAGCGCATGTTTGGACAGTTCGACGGAAGACTAAGCATACATTGGAAAATATCGAACGGCGAGCCAGGAGATCACTTCACGGACTCGAATTCAAACCTTGTGAGGAGCTCCTCAAATCAGTGGACGTTCGCCCATTATAGTATGGGGTCTCAGAGGTGACCTTCTAACTACTTACAGCATCCTAAATATTTCTGGCCATCTCTTTAAATACCTACCTAAGCTCAGTCTCAACATAAGCCCTACAGTAACACCAAGAAACTGAAGTCACAACATAGCAGAACGGATTGTAGACACACCTAATTCTTAGGAGTAATCGAACTCTAAAATTCGCTGTCGGCTGGGCTAGTTCAAGCTACTTCCCAGCGGTCATTTGAGTGAAGACTTGAAATAGTCTTAAGGACTAATAAAAATATCTCGCTGTAATCTACTAATATATTTTTCTCTTCTAACTTTAAATTTCCCTACGTTCCCACCTGACGGTTCCGGTAATCTACAGTTACTAAATACGGAAGCCTTCTGAACAAAAGCTTCTTTTCATCCAGAATCATATAAGACCATTTGAATGCTTACGATACAATCACTTATTTATATGATTTAGTCTATTAGATTTCGTTCAAAATAATTGTAAGAACTATGTTATTAAGAATACTTCGAGAATGTCTGTTGACAGTCCATAAGATGCGAATCATGTTTAAGTAACAAAAAAACCCCAAATATACGATCGGTTTTGTGAAGAAAGTGATTCAGAGGATATTAGATAAATTAGCCCAAATCTTCAGATAACATAATGTCATGATGAATGTTGAGTGTTAAAATATTTTTTATTGGATTGAAAAGTGGTTATTTTCCTCAATAATAGTACCTGTTTCACCAACTTTGCCCATTGTTTGCGTGCTGAACATAGTTTCTATAACTAGCTTACAAAATACTCCATTTAATTATTAACTTACGTATATATATATACAACAAAGAAGGGAAACACTTAATATATAATTGCATATTTATTTCTTGTTGTTGTTTAAAAATCTCAATATGTTTACTCCAAAGCATGAAAGTCATCAGTTTTATGGTGAGTTTAAAATATTTTGATGATTTTTCAATTAGGATTTCCAATTTTTCATTGTTATGTCTCAGCAAAAACCCGTGCAAATTGATAGAAATTTGGGTTGAACTAAATAATTTGTGTGACCCAGCACTTGATTCTGCAGCACTCTGAATGTGATATTCTAGTTTTCGAATGCAATAATCGGTCGAACACTTTTAAGTCTCTATTCATATATGTCTTTGACCTTGTCTGTCATAAGCTTATAAACCCGATTATTTTTATCTGCATGTATGTGTAACATTTATTTAGCTTACTCTCTCTGTCTAATGGTGGTATTTATACCAAGTAATAATTCAATTTTTTGATTCTGCTATCATTACGAACCTAAAATATAGTAGGTTTTTCGTGCCTTAAAGTAACCCTCGTGCTATTGATAGAAGAAACCAGACAAGTAGTGAATAGGTCTTTATTTCGATCTTAGCGCGGTGACAGTGGAGCGTGGGACTATCTGTTCAGACAAACAAAGGCTCTCAACATTCAATATAAGATAATAGGGAATATAACGCTTATACAAAACAAGGAAGTGGATGAATACTTGAACAATACTGTTTTGGCATATGCTTGGTTGTTTGGGGTCAACTCTTAACCAACCAACCTAAGCTGTTACAGGTTTGCTCGTGCTCAACGGGTTCCAGCTGTTTTTCTTTTGGCTGTACTAGGAATTCCTAAATACCATATTGGTGTCGCGATGGTGTATCATTTCACCCACACTTGGGTCTTTTTACGTTTAATGTTTTAAAGCCCTTCAGTAAATTTACTTATCAAACACTGTCATTAGAAAGGTAACATTGTGCCTATGTGTTTGCATTATTATTTGCACGTGTGTATGAACATGTATGGTTGATGGATCGTTCGCTTTCCTGTGCACGTGTGTCTGATTCCTATCATTTCATCCGAATTTTAATTCACCGCTGCATTCGCTTGCTTGCATTCAAACGGATACTCATTTTTGCTTGGATCCACTTTGTTTTTGTGGTGATCTGTGCTGTAATATAACAAAGTGTTGTCAACGCTTCGTATTATCTCTATAATTCTATGCGCCTTTGAGAGTTATCTAATAACTGTTATCAAGATAAACGATACACAAAGTTTAAGGAAAACTGTCTAAGATAATCCACTTCGCTGGCGCCTGTTTGAACGGTTAGATATATGTAGAATTATGGTCTACTACGATTGTCCAATGCCACTACATATACATTTTTATTCTGAAGCCTTCAAGAACTACATTGAAATCCTTAAAATCTGGCGCATCGTCAGGAAAGATGTTAAAGATGATAATGTTCCTACGTTTATAGGAAAAGATGTCTACTGGTTATTTAATAATTTGGCGTTTACAGATAATGCTGTTCCAACTTCTATGAAACCGTCAAGGAAATACTATTAAGTCATACAAAGCGCACAAACTTTGAATCTATTGATAGAGCGAAATTTCATAAAAGGATCCGTCAGAATAGACAGATGGTTGGTTATTCTATCCACGAATTGTAGAAACAAGTCGTCAAATGTATTTTTTCAGATTGAATTCATATCCAGGTATGTGATCGATAAATTGAAGTGATTAACATACACCCAGCTACCGAAATGCTCCTTCCAAGAACTCAGAACTGTTTATATTAATTTTCAGACAAAGTACGACACCGACTCCCAGGACATGAAGAATTCCGCCACACGACATAATTGTTATAAATAGACTCAATTCCAAGGTTATACTACGAAAGATTTAATTAACAATAACCCCCTTTTCTCAAAAGCACGTGAAATAATTATCAGAAGTAGTAGAAAGCTGTAAACAAGAGCGATCACAAGCTTGGTAGGTGTCTACTAAGTGGTAAACTTCATTCACGTAACTGATGTGCATAATGTCATGCTTAGTACTTTCTATGTAGCAAATCGGACTCAACAAGTTGATGTGTATAACTACTGTTCATTTTGCCATTAGTGCTAATAAACCACATAATTCGGTTTTGACTAAGTTCAGTGCTTCTAATGATCATTTGTTTTATCCACAATTTTTAAAGATTTTCGCGTCGGTAGATACCACTCGTTTTATCCATAAAACTAATAGTTACAGCAAGTTTTTATTCAGATCATGGAATATAACAGTTGTAGTACGAGGTTCACTTTCCAGCACAACTTATGGATTTGCAAGGTAATTTTTATATTCATGAACGGTTATATAACTCCCTTTGTTCATTCCATTTCATTTTTGTTACCCATACTCCACAAGACTCATTATTTCATTCGGATACTTAATATCTTTAGATTCTAACGTGAGTTCTAACGAATGAAGTCCCAGCATTGAGATTCACTGGACTCCAACTTCTGTGAACCGCTAGTTAGAAATGAAAGTTCTTCCAGAAACAGTACTCAAAACATTTAATGATTTGTGTGCAAAATAATTATTGAACCAATCCAGTCTTCAGATTAGGTTTTCCTATCGATACACCTTTGAAACGTGACAGCAAAATACCTAAATAATTTGGCGAATACCACTGTCTGTTGAAGCTAACATGCACCACAGTGGATGTTGGAGATATTCTCTATCGATGTAACGGAAAGAGAACGCTGAAAATCCCTCGAGAGTATTTCATTGGAGAGTAATGTAATTTATTTGTTTCTTCACCGTCTTTGATTTTGACCTTTATCACGATCTCTTTTTTCCCAAGTCAAGGCTTTTGCTATTTGATCCCGGTTAAAAATGTAGCTTTCCTTGTTAATTCACTGTCGCTTGTTTCCAGACCATCGGTAATAAAGTCGTGTCTGACTAAATTCAAGGTAACGACTCGGTTTTTCGTGCCTATAGGTAACCCTCGTGTTATTAATAGAAGAAACCAGACAAGTAGCGAATAGGTCTTTATTTTAGATCTTCGCGCATTTACAGTGAAGCGTGGGATTACCTGTTCAGACAAACAAAGCCTCTCGATATTAAACATACGATAATAGGAAATATAGCGCCTATACAAAATAAGGAAGTGAATGAACACTTGAACTGTACTGTTTTGACACATGCTTAATTGTTTGAGGTCAACTCTTAACCAATCAACCTAAGGTGTTACAGGTTCAGTATATGGCTGTCAACCATTGACGTTTTGCTTGGAAAGGTAGCCGGAGTTCTTGAAGACAGATATCTGATTCAATCTTATTTATTCTCGGGTATCAGACTCTTGTTTATTAATCATTCCTTCTGTTGTTTAGCACCTAAGTTTGTGTTAGGGAATTTTTTACTGCATAACACAAGCTTTACCACTGAGATATTTTGTACTTTTGAGATGACTTGCTCATTATTATAATGAATCCTTATGAAGTGAACACAGAGCTCGTGTTTTGATACGATTTATTAAGAATCACTCAAAAACTCTTCGTACTTTACACAGAAAAATGTATTTTGGCCTAATCGAGTAAACTTTGGTTCGTTAGTTCTTCGTTCAAACCGAATATTGGTATTTCGTTCGTTACAATCGACTTCATGTTTTCAAGGCGTTCTCAAAATCTGAGTTAATTTATGCTTGTCCGCAAATCCCCTTGGATTAGTTTCAATCTATTTTGACACGAGTTACCACTTTAACTCTATTTTCCATTTTGTATAAATTGTTCTTCAGTCATAATTCAGGAATTATTGAGTAATGTAGTCAATGATCTTACAAAACTACGTTCCAAATTTTTTCTTTAATGTTACTTGTTTATTTTAAATCTTGATATCCAATTAGTTGAAATGAGGCGAAGAACAAGGTTCATGTTTAAGAAACCCTTGTTAGTTTCGTTAAAGAGATGATATTCCTCGAACGCATTTTCTTAGCGTACATTCTCTGCTTATTGCTGATGCATCACCAGTGGGTATTAGTGCAGTTTTGGAGAGGGGGGTAAATCATCAGTCCGTGTTTCACGCAAACGTACTGTTGCTGAACAACTTCATTTACAAACTCAGCGAGAAGTATTAGCTCTGCTTTGCGCTGTTAAACTGCTTCATAAATATATATTTGGAAAGAAATTAACTACTGTTAAAGATCATGAAGCTTTAAAGCCTATAATCATCTTAAAAAATCTTTAGCAAGTTTCTCAGCTGCTATGATTCAAAAACAGAGTACTGTTATGAGTGGTTTTGGCCATAAGATTCAACACGGAAGTAGCTAATAGATTCAACATGTTGACTAAATATCATGACAGTCATTACAGAATAAACCCATTATTACTACGAACTGTTTAATAATGCAATCTCTACCATGAACAGTTTAGATCTCATTGCAGAAACTCATCGATACATTGGATGTGCACTCAGTGCTATACAAAAAGTTAGGTTTCTAACCTGTGACGTAAAAATCTTGTTTGTTTTCATGAGTAGGATAAATTATTCACTACTAGTGATGCTATTTCGTGTTGGTAGCCGGAGAAAAATGCAAACGTGTGTTGTACAGCAAACAATTGTGAAAGATGTCACAAAGCAAAAAATCTTTCCTCAAAATGGACTTGACATCCAATACCATTAGAGGCCCTGAAGAGGATTCGTGCAGACTGTTGTGGTCGAATTCTCGGCAAATACTAAGCAACTGCGGTCAATGATTCTTCCTCTGAATGCCCTGAAGTGTTTTTTGCGATGTCATTGAACCGATACATTAAAAGGATCGTTCAGTCGGGAGCTTCCTATTGTGTTATTGATTATTAATGGCCCTCATTTTTCTGCAGATGCATTTGTTACGTAGTTGAAGAGTATATGATGTAAGCATCTGTTCACTGGTCTGAGACTGTCTTGTTTCAGTGGTCGAGCATAAAATTTCGTCACAAAATTGGGAAAATCGCTGAATCAACTATAGGACCGGAGATCGGGGGTCGACACATTGCTATGGAGATATAGAAGTTCTAAACATTCCGTAATGAAAGGGACCCCGCCAAAATTATTATATAACAAGATTTTTTGTAGGAACGTAGTGTTCAGAGTTTGTAGAGACTACATATTGTCCTCAAAATGATCTTTACCAGCCATGAGATTGTGATGAATAACGTAACAAAATTTATGGTTTAGTTTCGAGAAACCAACGATTTAACAACGAACAGCCGACACGTTGAAAAGATACAATTTCATGAACCAGATGATACAGTGTTTACAGTTGACCTAGGGAGAATAAACATGATAGTTCGTGGATTGGTTGAAATTAGACATTAAAGGCAATGGATGCCGGCTCAGTGGTTTAGAGGTTATACATTCACACAAGGAACCGAATATTCTGGGGTCGAATCTCGCATGCAGGGTCGTGGATGTGTACTGCCAAGGAGTCCCATACTGGGTCAAAATGGCCATCTAGGGGTGTTCCAACACAGTTAGACTACGAGGATCTGGATTCCTATAACATCTATAGAGGTTTAGGTATTTGTTCTTGCTGATTATTCTTTTTATTATTATGTGCTCACTTTTCCTCACCAAGCTGTCTGTTTTAAATTTGGCTACTTTTTTCGGACTTTCTAGTCAGCACATAAACTTGACCACTTCCAATCATCAAAACAACCCTAAATATTGCTTTTCGCTTGATGTAATTAAGTCCTCGTTCCTCTTAGTGTTCGTCTATGGCAACAAATGTACTGAATAGATGTATCCAGAAACAATTCTCATATTTGATTTCTTTGATTCTCTTACTAACATGAATTAGGTCAGTGAATATGTACGAGATCTATCGGGATGCATATTTTGTTGTCTTTGATGGCCGAAAAGACTATAGTCATGTAATGGAGCCACATTATGGAAAAAAGGCTGATTAGAGAATATTACGGAAGTCGATCAACAGAGAACAAAGGAAATAATATCGTTAGTATTGAGAACCACGAAATTCAAGCCTCTTGGGGCTACTCACAAATGTGTTAAATGGGTCTGCACATGCTAATGATTATATCATAAGAAATAAGGTTACTTATTTTAGCTTCTATTGATTCAACAGCAAAGATAAATATAAGCAGTCAACTTCAGGTAACTGTTTAATCATATCACACCAATAAGAAGACTATAAGCATACTTTTAAGATGGTGGTTGGGGGTAGTGAGGAAGAAACCCTGGACCTAGTGTTCATGCTACTTGGCACTCGTCAGCAGGGTGTACGTGTTATCTTGAAGGAACTAATGCTCCCTGACGGATTCGATCCCGTGTCACCCAGCTCCAGTCAGATAGGTTACAACTGAGCTATCCAGGCCACGACTGACCTCCTATAGGGCTGAGATGTATCTACGACTGATTGATCACTGGGTGGTGATCAGTGTCATGTATGTCAGGTCCTTCTTAATGCAGATCGAATCCTATCGACCAAGTTGCCATGTGGCCACCAGTCTAGATGACTCGACGTTGCATGTACTATGTTAAGATAAGATGATGGTTGGAGGTAACCAGGAAGACCCTCTTCTTTGGTGTCCGTAAATTACAAATAGAATCTTACCACATGGTTAATTTGAACATGAATAGGATGAGAAGGCAAAATGTGCGGGAAAAAAAGATAAGACGCATGCATCAGCTACGCAAATTATATTCACCAGTCTGCGTTAGTCACCATCGACTTTGAAGACTACTCAGTATATCTGAAGGAATGAACTGATATTCACTTTTATAGACTATATTTATTTAACATGCATACTATGTAGCAATAAATGTTGTAATTTGTAGATCATACCTGTAAAAATGGCGTGTGCCTCCCCTTGTAGAAATATATCATATTAATATATTAAGATACCCAGTGGGTGACTCAAAGCCCACTGATCACTCTTCTAACATGGCAACGATCCAGCTAGGTAGATGATTCATCTTAGTCTCAAGTATATTTCGCTGGCCCTACACCTTGACAGACAATCTATTCTGTTGTTAAACCGACCAGCATATACCATTTAAAACGTTTTGTGTATGATTCAACCATGTATGCGCGAATAAGCATCTAGATTACGGTGTTCTACACTTACTGAGACTTTGCAAGCAATCTGGTTTACTTTATGGTTGAAGAAACTGAATCTTTAACAAGTAAACTAAATATCTCTCAAAATTACAGTAAATGGTTTCATTTGCAATAACCTAAAGATTTATCAAATCAGACGCCTGTGGGTAATTACAAATATGTGAAGCTATAACCAAACTATTTACACATTGGACCTTTATGAATTGATTCATGTCTACAAAACCATCTTTTACGCGAATGACTTACATCCGAAAACATGTATACCAGTGACACCTTTCACAATAGTGACGGATCAAAAAATAATGTATCAGCTGATATGTAGTAATGGAAAAAATAAAGCGCTTACGGATGGCGGACGCTTTATTAAAATACTTGTTTTCATAGTCAAAACGATCGTAAATATTTCCCATCACATAATTTCTTTGTACATTCTAGAATGGTACGAAGCATTCAGATATTAAACATGACATGAAAAAGACAACCGTGTGAATGTTGAATAATTTATTAGTATATAAACTTATGGACGTAGGAAAAGAAACTATACATGTATTGGTTTCCGATTTAAAATAATCATAGTATACAAGATATATATTTATTCATGAGGCCTGGCAGTCAATAACAGATCAACTTCTTCTAACGGTGTTCTTAATCTTAATTCACGTTCCGATAATAAATCAACAACTTCTTCAACATCTTCTGGACAATAACGAACTAGATCTGTATACAGAGCCTAAAATGTAAAAAACAATATTGTACACCCAAAACTGACTATTTTAGTTGAAGTGATGAACATGAATTGCTACTAAATGACTGGTTAGTATTGTATAAGCCAACATAAAACAAACTTTTATTACGTACGAGCAGAAAATGCAATGGAGAAAATTTGACAGGATTATTTGTAATAACTTTAAATAAATCTCAGTTCGGTATTTCAGTTAATGTCGACAATAATACCAACTGAATTTACTAGCTAAATCAAGAACTTCTGTCGCTTTTCAATATTTGTTTCAATCAATGAAAAATTTCAGTAAATATCAATGGCATGCAACTTAACACTGCCGGCATGATTTTGGCACAAAGTTGAACTGTTGTGGTACTTCAAAAGTAAATAAATTCCAATTGTCAATCATGATATATAGTATTAGTAGAGCCTATTTCAAACAGGAACAATCTTGAAAAAAGACACGAAATACAGCAACTAATAGTATAAGAGATTTTTCTGACTACAAAATATGGTCTTCATAAGTTAAAGGATGCAATTAACTTGGTACCTTGCTTAACGTCTCAGCAACTTTTAAGAAGTACCTTATAATACCACTTTAACCTTTTAAAATTCTTGGTGCGATCGTTGATATTCACCTTAGTAAATGATACACAATAGCCCAGATACATGTTTTCTTTAAATTACCAGACAAACCTTTAATTTGTTAGCAAATTAAAAGCACCCATAGCATTTAATCTCCAACTAATGACCTTTTTATTGTATCTTAATAACTGTTAGCCGTTTAATAAAATGAGAAAATTAAAAATGATGGAATGTAAATAATGGGAGAAGCTATAATTTACGGACGAACTAATGTAATTAAAGGTAGCAAGTCTTGGGCTTTGGCGCGCAATTCGTCTATTCATATGGTTAAATAGCATTTCGTCAATAAAGTTGATGCCAGTTCGTGATGAAAACCCTAAATTCTAACTCTAAACCTTACTCTTAATTCAAAACATTATTTTAACCCCCAGCATGTATGTGGTATCCTCAAGGTCACTTCAGCATCGCTCAAAGTTCAACCAAAAATTATAGTATCACTAAATAATAAGAAAAATATTCTGAATGAAATTACTTTAGCCCATGGAACATCTTCAACAGCTCGGTAAAAAACTGCTTTTACAGCTTGACGACGTTGACGAGGATCTAAATTATTTGTAATAGTTGTAGTAGATGTATTAGAAGTATGAGGTGGACCAGCCATCCAACCAAATGCCATATAAGCTCTCCATATAACTAAACGTAAATGCGCCGACCAGAATGACGGTGTATTAGCACCTAGCGCTACATGAATCAAGTTTCCTTCAGAAGATATAAATGATGTAAGAAATGGACTAATTTGCACAGCTTTCTCAAATGCATTACGTACACGTTGATCACTTACGGAATTTCTTCCTATTATTATTAAAAGAAATATATGGTAGTTAATTAATTAATTAATTTGTTCTTGCTTTATTTAAATTCATAAAGGGAACCAATTGCATGAAATTAATCAAATGTTTTATTGTTTACTTGTAAAATTTTAGTTAAATATAAAAAATTTCTGTAAATTATTACAAGTACAATAAACACAATGATTACAGAATGTCATTTTATTGATATCCAAGAACGAAGAGGTTCATTATAGTGTTTAGATGGTTTAAACCTTTGTGGCGTTTTGTGCACATTCAAAGACTTATTGTATCTATAAAGCATATCTACCTCTTGCGCTAATGTATTTGTTTGTTCATTTGAGATATTTGCACTTACTGGCACAGTATTACTCTCGTTGTGATTTACAGGTAAGTTTCATTGAAAAACTATTAGCAAGATCACCAGACTAGTAGTATCATCAATCAAATTTATTTTCATAGCATTGCTGCTATCGACTTAAGTGGGCTCATCACTCGATAAACAGTCTGGAACATAAAGAAGTGATTATTTAAAACGAATTCAAATTATTTTGCCAAGAAAAATAATTAGTTCGTTTAGAATTCAACGATTATTTACTAGAACTATTCGATATTAGTTGAAACTGTCAAGCCAACTGATTAGATTAATCAAGATCATTTATAAAACAGCATAAAATTATATGCATCAATAAAAAGTGTATCAAATACATTATAAGCAGAGATAGATGGTGGCTAGCAGTGAGATCCAGAACGCACATTTCTTCCTATTAGGGGCTCTTCAGCTGGATATACCTGCATTCCAGAGTTGATGTCCACTCCGGGACTCGAACTCAGTAACGTTCTCTTCAAACGCTATCGCACTATACACTTAGCTGCCTAGTCCAGGTAACCACTAGCTTGTTCAATTTTCAATCCATATGTATTGGTTGTTTAGATCTTTTCATTGGCCAATAAAAGACTGGTCAATTGCAGTCCTAAACATCAATGAGAAGATCCAAACAACCAATACAAAAATGTATCAAATACAGTTTGAGAAGCATAAAATTAAAACAAAACAACTGAATAAATACATAAAAGCCAGTGTTCAATACCTACCATCACCATAATCACAAGTAACACCAGCAATTAAACTCGTCCATCGTTCTAATTCTAAACTTAAAATGAATAAATCTAAAACATTTGGTAAACAAGCAGAACATAATTCTAATTGATGACCAATAAAACTATTGACTTCTGCACCAATTGATCCTTCCAAAAAATTAATATTTTGTTGATTTTGTCGAATATTTGAACGTGATATACTATTCAGTGATTGTTGAATAATAGACTGAGAGGCTAACTTTGCTACATTTTGTCTTAAATGATTTAATTGATGAATAAAAGAAGCTAAGAATAACGGTGGTAACAGACCATGACATGAAGATGCATTCATCAGAGATAGGGGTAATTTTCTATTTAAAAAATTAAAAGAAAACAAATTCGAAAACACAATGAGTTACATTGGAAAATAAGAGGATTTTTTAACCTACTTTAACACACACACATAGATATACATTGAAATAGTAATATTTCATTTGAATAGAGACGTCAAAAAGTAGACAAGATAATAACAGGTAATTCTTGGTTTCACGAAGAAAATCAATAACTTTACACCTATTTTAAAAACATTCATATCAATTGACCAGAATAACTTAATTTAGTACTCGAGTAGAGATGGTTTTACCGCAAAAATCAAACACGTCTATTATATCACAGTTAATAATAGAGAGTAATACTAATGACTAAATGAATAGAAAAATGGTTGTTTAGGGTCATTGTTCCATAAATCCACCGAGAATTTTACTATATGATTAGGATAATAAAATATGTTACAAGTATGCAATGGTTATTTACACAACAGATGAACAAAAATCTAATGACTGAAAAATAATGAGTCTACTTAGCAGTAGTAGTAGTAATAGTAGTACATTATAGCACAGATAATAGAGCCAGAAACACGTAAACAAAGGCTATAAATTAATCGAAAAATAAGATTTGTAATGATACTCAAAAGTGTTATTGTAATCCAGTTGTACCAAGGGCAAGCTTCTTTTCTACAACAATTAATGATACTATTCAATAGATCAAACCAAAGTAAATGATGAAGTAACACTTTAGATCACAATCCAGTAGGAGTTACTTGTGAATAGAATATATTCACTTTCTATTAAACCTACTAGTTTCATTAAATTAAAATTCAAGAATAATTCCTAATGTTTTCATATTCCAGTACATTTTTTAGATAGAGTTTTATACCTTCTGTCACAACATGATATTTTAATCAAATCAAAATACAATATTTTTTTCATAGTGATCATGTATGCTTTAAATGGTAAAACTTCGAAAGTGATAAAAAAGAACTTTTAACACTGGTATGAAGTTGAACTAAAGCATCTAGCCAGGTAATTACTAATATTCAATGATTCCCTACACTAAAGCTAACATACAGTAAAAACTTTTTATGTGTGAACTAGTTAAATACACAATGACATTTCAAAGAGAAAAATAGATGTGATACAAATAATAATAATAATAATAATAATAATAATAATAATAATAAATATTGATACCTTTGATCTAATGAAATCCTTGATGGAAGAAGATAACTTAATTGTGATGGAAACATTAAATCCATTAGTATATCACTTGAATGATATTTATTATGTTTCATTATTAATTGGAATAAATGATTTAAAAGTGGACGTCGATTGCGTTGACGTAGAGCACAGAATGCAGATAAACCGCCAATTGTTAAATTAATAAATTTATTAGTACAAATACGATTTTGCAACGGTGCCGGGATTAAATCATCATTATCATCAGATAAATTATTATTTTCTGACCAACGACTACTTGATTTTGAACCAAGAGGATAAGATTCGTCTAAATTGATAGATAGAAATTTACTACATAATCTATCAATTCGTCCAAGAATAGGCAGTAGACTAGCAAGTGATGAGTCTAAAGCCTGGAAAATAATTTTAGAAAAAAAAACAGCTTGATTAGCACTAATGACTATTTAATCAAATTCATCCGTAGGTTATATTATTGATAGATTGACTTCAGATGGGGTGCCGTTGAAAACCAGGGAACAATGGATAGCTTTTTTAGCCCTAGTACGGAGCTTTTCAGTAGTACGCACCTACAACTCCAGAATCTTTCGATCATATAGCAAACCCTTAACCATCAGAACCACCCGATCAGTAGCCAGTGTTAAAAAAATATAAATGGATAAGCTCACATTACTGAATGTTCTTATATTTCTTTTCTTCATCAAATCATCCTTATACAGTACACCTCCTAGAGATTATTATTCACACTTAAAACATTTTTCAAACCGTTAGTTATATTAGACTTTTATACAACACTTCATTTGATTCATATATGGAAAAAATAGATTATTCAAGTTCAAATAGCTAGAAAAATTACATCTTCAAATATTAAAACAAAATAATGAAATATGATGTGTACTAAGATATGTATGAAAGATAATGCAGAATGCAAATAATGAGTATTTGAAAACTATTGATAAAAAATTGAGCGAAAACAGTGTATTCATTTTGTGAAATGACAGCATACTTCATCAATTGATAAATAATGTTGTCTCGTTATGGACACAAAAAGAGCGTCTAGTTTTCTTGTAGAACATGTGATTTGTCTATTTACCTATCAAATCTTTGAGTATGGTACGCAGCAGTTTGCTGCCTACTACTTTGTGAACATGAAACATGCAGACGAGATGAACATGTTATTGCTAGATTCAACTACAGATGCCTTGAAGTAAGTACAGGGGAACACCTAAAATAATAATGCTTAGGTTAGGTGAAAGTAATGAATAAAGATGATAAATCGATAGATAAGACTGTAAAACGTCATTTATAACTAATTTTTCTAAACTTTTATTCGAACTAAAGCCCTTAGATGGTTAAGTGAGAACATTAATCCTCAGAGGTTTATAGGCGAAAACATATATATAGGTCAGTATTAGTAATGAGGTATGAAATCAATTAGTTTCTGAGTGAGAGCAAAGGCAGTTGTATCACGTTGTTATAATTCAAACATTAAGCAGACGTTTTCAAGCTTTTTTGGAAAAAAATTCATAAAACATCACTAACTCGGTTTACCTTTTCATCTGTTGTTAAGAGATCAAACATTAAATTTAAATAGCATAGAATAGGGACAGTACCAAGTAGACCATCTAAAAACTCTTGATAATTATTAATTTGAGTGGTTAAATCCTCTGGCAATCCAACCAATGTTGTCCATATAGCTTCAATACGCTTACCAAAACGATAATTAGTTTTCACAATAATTGACGGTAAAATTTCACTGGTAGATTGTTGTTCATATGAATGGTAAACACCACCGATTGCGATATATGTTAGTAAATATAATACACGATTTTCTTCATTGAATCCTTTTTGACAACTACCTGATCCAGGGCATACATCCAGTTCTAAATCAATATAATCCTGATAATTTTGTTTTCCAGTGTTAAGTAAATGTATAAAAGCAGGAAAAAAAGTGACACAACAAAATAAAGACAACAGAGAATTAATGATTTTAGAGTGACTAACTAATTTAACACAGGAGAACAGTAGAATTGATCATAAATGTATCAGTGCGTAATACGAATAGCACAAACAATTTAACTTGGGAAGTGAAAGCAGTCAAGTTAAATCAAACCCACAAAATGCATTAAATGATATTTAAAAATCAAGATGGATATACTCAGATTCTTGGAACTTAAATCTGATAAGAACTATACCATGAGATGCTTCAAATCTAGAATAGCGTGCTTTCAAAAGTAGTTAGTAAGTCAAATCACTCGAATATTAAACATATTGCAAGTTGGCACTTAATTAGGTTTTGGTAATCAATTGGTGGAAATGCCTATCTTATCAAACCAAAACAGAATCTGAATTAAAAATATAACCACTCAAAATATTGAGCTACAGCCTCATTGTACATTTTATCATTACAGTAAATTGAACAACGTGGTAATCGTAATCTTAAATTGAATAAATGTGACTGTAAAATATGTGGTCTGAATTCTAAAGAAATATTTTGTAATGTATAGAAGTTAGCTGGTGAACAAAATCATTGGATTAAAACCAACAAGTTTGAATATATATATATATATATATATATATATATATATATATATATATATATACGTGGAGTATGAACATCCGATAACCTAGTTGATGAAGTTCTTTACAATATCCCCAGACAATAGATACGTGATTTTCACATAATGCAGCACACTTTTACAAGGTACAAAGATAATATATAAATTGAATAAAAAATTTTTTCTTCAAACAACTAGATATACCTGTAGAAGTTTCAATCTAGGAGTATATACAGTTTGATGAAATTCAACCAACTTATCCATATCATCAATTGATGGTCCGAAATCTTCCGGTATAGGATACATGCTTAAGGCCGAATCAAATATGCGTCTTGATTCTTGAATTGGAATCGCAGCATCTTGACATGTAGCCGTTACAAGTAAATCATGACTTATTTGCCAGAAACCTTTAGCGTAGGATCGCCATAAATTTAAATCTTTTTGGTTTTTACCCTCGGATATGATTGTCCGACCACAAGTGCGCCAAATGGATATAGCAGTCTAAGTTGAAATGTTAGGAAAAGATAGCAATTACTTTAGTATAATGATGAAACTGGATTGATATATTACGAATCTGAAGTAAATTTTTACACTACTGTGATGCATAAGCTGCAATCTGGTACAGGAAATCTCACAATTTTCAGATTAAAACATAACACTAAAGTATAAAATCTGACAGTTTGTCTGAAACATCGGGAAGTAATGGTGCATTTTCTAGTTTGATTCTGAAAGACAACAGAAGCCTTAGGTGGTTGTAGGTAGTCAACAAGAAGCCATGAACCTAAATTTCATGTTAGCTGGTATTCGCTAACAAGATGTACTCGGAATCTTAAAGGAACTGATGTTTCTAGTGGAACTCAGACAAGCATCAACCAACTTCATGACTAAGGTATCCGGTTTACAAACGACTTTCAACTACCCAACGGCAAAGTATTATATATATGATACAACTTTCATTAATATATAGATGCAAAGAAAAAAATAAGAGACACTTGGAAGAACATGTAGAATATGTTGCAGAATTTTATCGTCCCACTTAAGTAATGTCTTTACACGTTGCAAAGGTTAATAGACGAGTTGAATTACAGAACATCGAATTTCTAAGAATTAGCATCATAAGTAGTATAATATTAGTTAAGTAAAAAACTATCATTAGCTCATTACTTACCTTAACATTAACTAGATGTGTTTGAATAGCATTGGAAAGACGTTCAGATGCCAATGTAAAACGTAGTTTACTCAACGTTGTACGCCAATTTTCCTTAAGTTCAGTAGGCCACCATGATGGAATTTCATTCATTTGAGTAAGTGCAGCATCAATAAAACAACGATGGGCTTGTGCCCAAACATCTTGATGTTCATTAGCCAATTGTGATGGTGTATTCAATTGCCCTTTATTGTTACTATCATTGCTATTAGCTCGATTATGTGTAGTGTCTAAATTACTCGACATCCATGATTGTGATGGACATGGTGTTAAACCTTGACGTTGAATGCTACCTACAGATGCCAAATCATGTACAAGACGAATATCTAATAGTAGATAAATGAAGAAAAAAATGCACATAGTTTAGTGGATATGTATAATCTGTTAAATGTTCATAACGTACAATTTTTAAGGGACAATTAATATACTGTTATGAATAAAGGTTAGTATTCAGACAACAGTATACAACCACTTGTTTTTCACAGTTGAATTCACGAGTTGATAGAAGCTGGAAGCCGTCCAGTGCCTCCATGTTTTTAATGGGGATCTAGCTTAGATCAACTGGTGAATTCAACTGTGAAAATACTACAATCACCGCAAATCCCAATACTGATAGTAATCACTTCGTTTTTTTGTTGTCATGCTTTATCGACCCAACTTCGACCATTATTCAGAAGAAAAAAAAACAATGAATTGTATATTCGAAAGACATTTGTTCATTTGTTTAGTTTTGTAATGAATGTGATGAAAACAAACACTGATCATCCTCTCTAATAATTATTGCCATAATTTATTTTGTTTTTATCTCAAACAAAACATATTCTCTTCGATTTTCATTTCGTGTTCACATCTTATTCATTCATTCATCCTAGTTAAATCATTCAACTTGTTATTGTCATTACCTGATTATGTTATGAATACTACTCTTCGTATTACATAATTTGCACTATGATCAAATGTCAGATTCTATTCTAAATTCAGGATTATTTTTCCGGATTTTTGTCAAGTAAATATCATAGTTAAATGTAAATATGGCTTTATAAATGGTATAGGTAAAAAAAGGCTTCCTTGCTCAGCTTTAATGTTTTGTTCTATAACTCAATCAGAATGTTTAAAGTACTCAGATCATTATACTAATTGATTTTTAGGTTAATATTGGAAAGGTTCATATTTTTCCAAAAGTATGACAACATGATACTGTGCTGTTAAGGTATGAGGAGTTTTTAAATGTCAGATAGTCGAATTATTAAAATAAAAAGCGATATCATAAAAGTTAATATTAATATAGGACAAAAATGAAATGTAATATAATTAGACTATCTTCTAAAATCCTACCCATAGGAAAGTGATGAGATTTAGCTATATCACGATCGTATGCTCCAAGAAACTCTAAACACAATAAGAATAAGCGCTGTTGAAATAATGCTCTACGAGCTCGACTTTGAGGAGTGTCAGCTGTTGATCTTTCTTCAAATTTCCATAAATCTATTAGGCATGGTTTAATATCATCAAATAAAACTAATCTCTCAGGATCTTCATCTTCTATGTCTTTTTGATCCTGAGCGTTTAATACATCTGAAGGTAGCCAACCAACTGCTTCGCGAGCACGTTCTAGACCAACCCAAGCTTTTCCACGACGATATAAGATGGCTCGACTCTTTCCAAATGAACCATGGCCTGCAAGTGAAGGAATGCTCCCACGACGAACCCATTGATCAGCTGCAACTTCTGACGAAAGAATGGATGGAACAACATCTGGACCTGTATTTTCATAGGATTCATCAGGAATACCTTCTCCTGAACAACTAATCAATGCGTCTTCACAAGTGCTAGCAATAGCTAAACGGAAAAATAAACAATCATTCTTCTTAGCATATTATATGTGATTCTAAAAGTTGTGCAAATTTATGAACTTTTCGTTGTGCTGAAAGTAGCAGGAACATATGCCAATTTAAACTATTATCAATACCTATGAGCAGCATTTAATAGTCATCGTTACCAAGATGTTACACTCGATTCCCTTATGAATCATGGCTTTAGACTACTAGATTGATATAACTATAGATGTTTAAGTACTTATAGATTACATTTTTAGATAATAACAAATAATTTGCGTAGGGAGTCTTCTTTTCAGAAATAAGACAAACTAGTAAGGAATCAGCTACTCGATAGACAAATATACTAGTGAAGCAGTTTATTTATTTATTTGAAAGAAATTGCCTTTAGAGGATCATTGATATATATATATATATATATATATATATATATATATATAAACATAAATAAATTCATACATATTTAACGGGAATTAGCTACTTACACAAAGGTCAGTACTGAAATGTGTCGTCACAATTCAAGTAACAACTAAGTACAAAAAATTATGGAAACCTTGCTGGATAGTTTGTGAAGATTTGCGTATGCTGAAGAAAGTTCCCACTAGGATGAATTTACTCCAGCTTCGGCAGTCAGTAGTGGCTAGTTGATTAATGGGTAAGACGCTCAACTTTCAGTCACTAAGTTCCAGTACCAAACTCAGCTCCACTTCGGTTTGGACAGCCGAGTAGTACCACCAGCCCTCACGCCTAGAGTGTAGCCCATACTCAAGTACCTGGTGAATGAGTTGATTGACTGATAATGATAATTAATTTGATTATAAGCGATTAAATCAGTCAGATTTTCACCAGTAGACAGTGGGTTCGAACCCATCCCCATCTACTTCGGGTTAGGAAAATGAGTAGTATGACTAACTCATATATAAACAGCGTGGTTTGCAGCCAAGAGCATAAATTTATATTCGGTAGGTGAGTTCTATCGTTATTATTAGTGTTATTATTAATTAGGACGAGTTATGCAGTCAACCATAGCAGGAGTTAGGCAATTATCCATAGATAACATCCAAGGATTTTTATGTTACATTGTGATGGAGGTAGGACTCGAACCCACACCCTTTCAGACTAGTGCCTTAAACCAGAGTCTTGGACTACTCGGTCACTCCACCTACAGAACTGAATGAAATTAGAAAATTTGGACCGTTGGATATCAATTGAAGGATGAAAATGTTGGTTATACAACTAATCAGAAAGTATATGTTTTATCTTATTTCCGACTTATGTGATAGATATGTTACTGAGTGTCAGACGACGTTGTTATTCTCACTAACTTAATAAGATATGCATGTATTTAGATATAAATTTATGACTATATAGCTTATGCTTTTAGTATATGGACGACAAAAAGCAAATTATACTTTGATACTGCTTTTTCTTTTGATAACAATTCCGTTTATTGTGTACAAAGCACTCGATTTTGTGCGACTAATGAAGTGATATCAAAGTAAATAAGATTTTGATAATAAAATGAGGATAACATGGATTGTAAGCTCAAACCAAGAAAAAATGGATCAATTTATATACAAAGAAGTTGTTTACTGAAATAGTTGGTGAGGATTTGTTGAATTAAATACAGTTTGCGTCATAAACTAAAATCAGCTGATGAATTGTTGCAAAACAGGGAATACTAAAGAGTGCTTTCGAGGCACCATTCTAAAAAAAACACATGGTAGCCATTGATTCGTTTCTATAAACCAGTCAGTCATGAGCAAAGCACAGGGAACAATGTATTTGTGCATCGGTTCAATTTGCCACACTATATTAGCACAGCACGATGAAATTATAAAGAAAAACCTTAGAGCAGTAGAATTAGTAACAGTATCAGTGTTCTTAGAAAAAAATAGGAATAGGGAATACGATTCGAGAATAAAAAATTCTTTCATGAAGTAAAAAGTATGCAATAACTTTGAACTCAAGTTCTAGGGGAAAACAGTGTGAATGCATCAACGCTATTACGAACAACCCTAAACTAAGATGAAAAAATCGTCCAATACTTTTTGATTTTAAGTTTTATTTTAACTTAACTCAGTTTAACGAAAAATACCCCCCAAAACTGCCACCAAATGCCCTGGTACGGCCGAGAGTAGGGAGAGTCCGCTCTCGCTCTCGAAATGCTCTCACATAACCACACGTATAGTTCTACTCAATGCCTTCTCGTGGCAGGGGTATTGTTTATGGAATTGAGAGGATGAAAAGCGAATGTCCGGAGCTTCAACCGGGTTGGTGGACATGAAGAGTCCACCTAGGGGAGTTGGAAAACCCTGATTCCAAACCAATGGTGCACATGGGCTCCAGTACCCTGAGGGAACAAATGGCGTATGAGCCAATCGTTGATCACCGGCTACCATGGGACTGCATCTCCTTACTATGCTCCACTGTCTCGTGGATCAGACCTTCAGGTCGATGGCTCCGAGTGTGGCCCCCTCAGAAAACCACCTGCTTCGGTTTGGGCACCCAGGCAGTATCACAGTCCTCACACATATCAAATGAGATTTGTGTGGCGCATATGTATTTGGTACCTCCTTGTACCAATATCTATGCGTTAAAGTAAATAAAAAGAACTAAATTGTATTTTGAGATGGAATCCGTTAATTACATTCAACTAATAAACATTTTATTTTGTTGGTGAAGTCGCTTTATCAGTTTTCTCTACATGAATATATGATAGTATTGAGTGTGAAGTTAAATAATTGTAAAGTTACGGATTCTTGAAGTTTGTAAATAATACGAGTTAACTTGAATTATTCAGTGGTCAGCACAGAATTCGAATAACGAATTGATCAAGCGTGAGATTCCAGCAATTAAAGTTTGCATTTGAAGAGTAGACGAAAACTTTGATTAATTAGTATATCATTTTAGAAATAACTTTCAAAATCTATGAAAGTACAGAATATTATTCATCATAACAAACCGGTTAATTTTCCAGCTATACTAGTCCACTTAGAATGTAGTTCTTCAACTGACATATCTGAAGTTATTTCGGAAATAATTGGTGAAACAATTTGATTTCTCTTATGACTTTTAGATAATTTTGATTCTTTTAGTCGCGATTTATCCTGTCGTTTATTTCGAGTTTTAAACCATCCATTCCAATGTTGTGAACCAGGTTGACCAAATCTAGGCATACCACTTGACCAAAATAATTCCATTTCTAGAACCCGTTGCTCAAACGAACTTTGTTCAATTTCTGTAGGACGAAAACAATTGAATTCAATAACAGCTTGCCATACTGCTAAAGCTCGTTCTGAATGTCCTGCTTGAGCTAACCAATGGCAATAATCAGCCAAGTAGTCTAATTTATGTTAATGAATGAAAAAAGAATATTATTAAATATATTATTTTTGGCACGAAATAGGTATACATATAAAAATAATGACTGAAATAAATGCTTATAACTCTAAGTGTTACGCGATAATTTAATCATTTTTATTCTGTTGTAAATTATTCATGATACATTTTACTGGTCAGTCACAATTTCGGAAACACAACTTATTTCTAATAAGTTTTTTACTATTTCATCTGTCAATAAATCACAATAACAAATTGTTATAATGAGACAGAAAAATGGTAGAATGCACACATCTATAGGAGTTGTCAAAAACATAAAACAAATATTTAAGATGAACACAATATTTTGAGGGAAGCAAAAGGTCAATAGGTAAGTGCTTATCATCAAAGACCAAAGATAGTGGTAGACAGCCTTGTCGAACACCATTTGAGGTTGGTGATGATTCGCCATACGCTCTGACTCGACGAGTAATGTTCGAGTAAAGAGCCTTCACAAAGTTTATGTACTTCTGAGGTACACCCTAATCTTCCCGATTACTGCTTATGCTCTTACTACCTGTACCACTACGGGATTTGAATCGACAACTGCATCTCTGTGCTAATGTGGTATGGCAACTTGAACTGATGTACGTACGTACGAAGTTCTACGTTGTTACTGACTGACTGAACAAACACTGCCACAGAACCTCTCGGTCAACAGTCAAATGCTGCTTTTATACATATATACAAATGGCCATATTACTAATTTTGTAATGGAATATGAAACAAAATTTACGTAGCCAATTCTTTCAATAATCTTTGTATCAAAGTGAGCTACGAAATATTAAAATTATAAGATACATTATCGTCAGATTTTTGTCTTTTGGACACAATAATCGCAAAATGAACGAACATACAATTCATTAATCAAACTTTATCGTCTTAAGAGGTCATTTTACTTTCACTTTCATACACAGGAAGAATTTGTATTCTTAAGCGTATCAATTTACTAAAATTACCATTTCCACACAATAACTGATAATAAGCTGGTTCTGATTATTTTTACAGTTCTGACATAATAAAGCAAGCCAAAGCCGGAAGTTCATTACATTTGGTAATATTTTAATTTTTTAAGTGAATTTGGAAATTATATAAATGCAGATGGTTAGTTAAACTACAATCGAAACACTAGTAACTGGAATTCAAAGGGGTTCGAACACATTTTATGTAGCTATAGTTTAGTGGCTTAAGGAATTGGTTTTTAACAAACAGTGAGCAAACTTGCACTCATCAACACATATCTCCATTCAGGTATTAGACTGGTATTATTATTCATTACATGAAACGTGTATCTTAAACTTGAGCATAAGATATTGTATTTAGTTACCTAGTTTCACCAATTAGTTAACTGACTAGGTAGGGGGATCTATTTAATTTTTTAAAAAAAATTAACGAAAGGAAATATTACCGATTGTTCTTTCTACAGTATCTGGTTGTGGTCTATGTGATAATATTCTTCCGGATATTATACCTGATAATGTTGATAGACCTCTCTTATAAACACCATCAATGCGTGAAAATACCCCATTTCCAACTCCTTGATTTATAGTAGTTAATGATGAATTCCGACCCATAAGATGCGCCGTATACCCACGCCACATGGGTACAAGTTGGGGATAAGTGAATACAAGCTGAGCCCAATCCCGATTAATTTGATCTGCCTGACAAACTTCCTTGTTAGATGAAGATTTCGAGGCACCATGAGCTTCAAGCTCAGCCACCAGTTCGTTTGTTTTAATTATGAATAATTTCAATGTTAAATTACCAGGATTAGCCGTAAGAGCTCGATCAGCCATTGATAACTGCTTCTTCAGTATAATAAGTCTGTCACTTTTAGAAAATTTAAAGTCAGAACATAACTGTTTCTGTTCAAAACCAGCACTTGTAATATGTAGAAAAGAAGCTCCTTTGTCTTGTATATCAATTAAATTGAACCACGAAATCAAATCACCTGGTCGATCGTAGACCCGACGGTTAAGTTCTTCACAAAGATTTAAAATATCATTGTTTCTTATCCCCGCTGTTGATGCGCAAGTACTAAGTTCATCAGGAAAACGAATTAAATCTGTCGACATGCCACTTTTATCAGATGACTTGATAACGGTACTAGGACTTTGAATGATTGCCCTACTTGACTTACTAAAATATCGCGATTTTTTTGTGACTCCACGTTTACGTTTTATTTCACAGCCCAGAAGATCATACAAATATAGATCTTTAAACCCCAATATTCTTGTTTTACTCTTCTGTTTAAATTGTGACACATGTTTTTCGTAAATACAACCGTGCTTATAAATTTCTCTGTTACAAGATCGATCAATTCTATATGCATTATTAATATCTAGTCCAGGAATGTCTTCCAAAAATACAGCAGTTGATGTGACTTTCTGATTCTTCTCTAATTTATGTTTTTTAGGAGAAGATGGGCGTTTAACTGATTTCGATTCTCTTCCCTTTTCAGTATTTGCTGCTTCTATAGATAATAGAATAGTAATAATACCATAAATAAAAAGTTCTACCATTCGTATGAACAGTGAGGTTTTGTTTTGAGTATGTGGAGCTCTGAAGCCAAGACGTCTTATCTAGATTTATTTGTAGAAATTAATTACAGAACTTACTGTCAAAAGATCCACTATCGATCTTTGGTTCATCACCAGAATAAGATGCACATGGAAACATTTTTACTTGATTGTTCGGAAATGTAAGCTTTCACGACTTAAAGCAAATGACTTATGCGTAGTCGCATGGCGACATAAACGATTATAAATCCGTCTGAAAAGATAAATAATACGAAGGATGATGAACAAAGCTTCCGGCCACTTACTAATATATGTATACATATATCCTGTATATTATTTTTCGAATCGTGATCGATTTTAGTAGTATTAATTAGTCAGTCAGCTACAACGTACTATAGTTCTCTTTAACCTAAACAGGTGAGTATTTTCGTAAGGAAAGCTTGATTTAGCAGCTTTTCATAGTTCAAAATTGTAAGGGTAGTTAACAAACCATTTGATTCAGAAGCACCAGACCAATAAAATGATCATCTCAAATTTGAAGATCTTGATACAGTTTCCAAACTTCAGTTGATCAACGTTGAACACAAATACTAAAATGACAAGCTGTCATAACCGTTAGAAAGCTTAAGTTTACAGTTATAATGATTATCTTTGCATATGACCGTATTCAAGAAATCAGTTCACTTTCGATCTCTTTTCTTATATCAAAATGTGATTGTAAGATGTATACAAATTTGATGATTTCCCATGTATTTGGTCAGAAGATTTTCAACAAGACAGTAACCATACGGGTTGCTAAAACTCGCTGATGACTCCAAACTTTTAATCAAAACTTGTAGTTTCTCTCATCTATGAGCAAATTTAATTGTTTTCATCGTTTACTACGTGCCAAGACTACTGAAAGAAACGTATCGGAATATGAATCTAATTGAATATATTTCAGTTAAAGTATTCGCAAAGAGTATAGTTTTTATTTCCAAAGTGGTATATCGTCGGTACTTCTGAGTTCTCGTGTTTATTTTATTCGTTAGCACTTTTAGTTCTAACAATCTACGGCTTTCCACTTTTTTTCATCAATTTCTTTTGTCTCTGGGTATTATCACATCTTGTTTATTTTTGAAGACTTATGTTTGATGGTTGGACAATGCCAGAAAAACAATTGCCAACGATCAGGCTGTCGCTACCCAACACAAGACGGCGAGACTATAATTCACTCATTCATCTGGTTATATAGAGTTTCGGTATTGTAACTTATGTCAGTTCGTGATGAAAACCCTAAATCTATTTTCTAACCTTAACCATCAAGCGTAGATCATAATTCTAATTCCCCACACTGGTTTATAACCCTCATTTTGATGTAGTCATTAGGCGGACACTCTAAAGTTTGGTCTAGCTTCGCTCAAAGGTCGTCCACAAATCATAGTCTCTCCTGGGAATCTCGAACTTACCAAGTGACCTTCCAAGGTTGTGGTTTAAATTAGCCTCGCAACCACAAGGACGTTAAATGGTTCAAATGGTTGCGGACGGCATAGAAGAAGCTTTCGCTTAACGGGCTTCCATGTCTAGTAGCAATGGGTCACCAATACCTCCAGGCAGGAAACTAGGTGTATTAACGATAATAGAAGAAAAAGAAATTGGTAAATCATAGTAAGGTATCCTTAGTACTTAAGAATAGGTCAAGTTTCGTCTTAAAGGACTCCTGAGAAGTCGCTTGGAATAGCCAAGACGGCAGTGAATTCCAGCATTTGACAACCTCTAAGGATCAGTAGTTGTGTCTACAGTCCGTTCTGTTGTGTTTTGTCTCCAGCTTCTGGGTGTTATCCTTAGGTTTGTGTAGGAGCTAAACTTAAATAGATACTTAGCTCCAGCACAAACCTAAGGGGTAATACCCAGAAACTAGAGACAGTTGGATTCACTTAATAATTGTTATACAATGTTATCAGAGTATCTGATAATAGTTTTTGCGTACGTCTGAGTCGAGAACTTCAGGATCATTGTGTAGAACTTGTTATAAACATGATTCTGGCTTAGCACACCTAAATGGTTGGCCTAAACAGCAATCCAATAGACACTTCCTCTGGTTTCACAGATGAATGTATGCCTTCAACGTCAAAATTGGAAAAGGCTGTTCTAGAGAAGATTTCGGTAAACAATCATTTGTGCCGATAAAACGTGATGGTAAGGACTCGACAAGGTATGGATACTCATTGTTGCTTCTTCATTGTCTCTGCCTGCGTTTCCCCTGATATCAACTCGGATGAAGAATGTAAATCTTGCGGAAAGCCTTCCACCTTCCTTTGAAATGCTAGCTGCGCATATGTGATGGATCTTACGGTGCTCAACTCGGCGAACAATTAACGGCAAACTTCTTTTGCAATTGTGTTCAGATAACTGTTTATTTCTGACAAGCACCAACTTTAAGCATATGCGTAAGCGCCTATGGTACTTTGGTATTTGCCATAACACTGATTTCATCGTGCAAACAGATGTGTAAACTTGAGTCAATGTACGCACATACCAGGTTTCTTCATGCTGTTTTTGACTAACTGAACTATTTTTTGAGCAAAAGGATTGACATGGAGTTTGTCAAGCACCTTGCTAGGTAAAAGTGTGACCATGTCAAATGAGGTAGACAGCTTGCAGTTTGCAAGTCAGTTCAGTTCACCATAATGTCACTGATCACTGAATAGTGAATACGTAGCACGGAGTAGCCCATATGATTTGGTGTGGATGTTTGACCGAACAACTTCAGCTAGGATGTGTCCAGTAAAACTAACGAGGGCAGCATTTACGTTAAAGACTTACAAGACCACTTATTTTTGTGATTTATTTACTGCTATAGGTCAATACCTACTGTTGGGGTATTGGTGAAACCAGAGGTTTAAACGTAATGAGCTTGTCGTTGGTAAACACTTCTCTGATATTCTGCCATGTCCAGAAGCATATGGTTGTTTTTCCGCGATGCAAGGAGCCATGCAGTAAGATATAACAATTAGAAACTTCCAATGAAAAGTTCGATTCATCCTATGGCACCGGGTTTTTATCTTTTCCATTCATCTTGGAAAAGGAAAAAACGAAAGTGTATGTAGATGTCAAAATGCAAGGAAACAAAATGAGCGTTAAAACTCAGCATGCATGAGCCTGTGTACCAAGCGATAGCATGAACAACTTACGCACAGAAAGTATTTTTGTTTTTTACTTATATATAACCATAATTTAAACACATAATGTTGCGTCTAAGTTTTGATCTTGTCCGTTATTAAGGCACAATCAATTGATCTACTAGTAACTTGCGACCCCAAAAACAATATATTCAAATTCCAATTCAGTTACAAAAATTTATCCACAAGTTACAAGTTATCAACCCATATATATGTCGTTATACTAATGATATAACAATTACAAAACAACTCTTCAGTTTTTAGACTTCAAGACCAAAAGCTTCCAAAATATCAAACCGAAAAGTGAGTGTAACCAAAATGTTCAAGGTCAAAGATATTAGCAAATGAGATCAAATGTTAAATAAAACAAATACACGCGAATAAATATTAAACATAAAAGTTTTTAATCGATCAAATATATTCAGTCTCGCAAACTATAAGCATATTAGATAAAGGCTTTCTTTCTTGGCACGATGATATGTAAAAGAACTTCGGACGAAACTTTGTGGTTATGTAACACGAAGAGCAGGACGAAACGAAAATCATGTGCTTTGAAAGCCCTATTGTCACTCTAGAGTTCGTTGCTTTTTAGCCGGTTTGCATTTTCTAGCGAAGTTTTGCCGTGGTCGTCAATTATCGGGAATGTTGCCTTTCGATTTTTCACGAGAAAAATAAACGTAATAAAAGTTTCCTTCCAAATAGGCGGCTTTAAAACGGTCAGTGCTGGAGTTGTCGTCAGTTTGTTCCAATGGCGGTAGAGTAATTATCATTTCGAATGTGGACTTCGAAGTATCCTTCGTGTGCCGTTTCAATGAATCGCGACGTACCAAAACGTCAAAACGAGCGTCGTGTGCTCCTTACCAGTATCCTTCTGTTTTATTCGTAGTTTCTGGGTTCTCAAAGACAACCTCGGCTGAAGGTCAGTGTTTTCCTCTAAAAAATGGGCAAGTTTAGGACTGTTGATGCATTGGGTGCAGTCCAAGGCAGTTATACGAAACAGTACGTCTGTAACTGCACAACCTGCTCCAAAAATGTGTTGTATATCTGAAGTTGGTGAGCCTTATAACTGAGCGCTTGAACCGACCTTTTAAGCTCTTAGAATATCCCCAGGCTAACTCTGCATGACTAATTGAGCATGATGGAAAAAGGGCGAAATATAGAAAAAAACGTCTTACCACAAGGTGTGTTTATCTACAGTGGATTGAAGGTACTTACGGCATTTTCGATGATTTCGGGCTTCTGGAAAGTTCTGAAACCCTACCAAGTTTAGCAGCAGGATGGGCAACCATCCAGTCAGAATTATGACACACGACCCTTTACTTTCTAGATATCTCCAAGAGATTTCTATTCAATGCTGATTGGATAAAATGCTTCATAGGATTTCAAAGGTCCCTTTTATCTTTTTCGATGAATGTTATGGGTCTTCTCAACAGTAACAAATGTGGGATGTGACGTAGTTGTAGAGACTCTTGAGTGAAATGCTTGTCCAAAGACGAGCTTAGAGAGAAGGTAAGGGTTTTAAGGTCAGTAAACACAGTTTACCTTCGACCTGCTAAAGTCTCACACGACACAATACATGGCTAGAACTCTCTTGACGAGCGTTTCTCGCAACTCTCATGAGAATAATGATCAAGTTTGTTAGGTGTTGGTTACCAATCGTAGCAGTAATCCACCAGTTACCTAGTTGGATGCGTCTATCGAGATACTAATTAGGTTCTTTGATGTCATAGTGTGTGAGCAAAGTTGCTTGTGTGATAGTTTCTTTAATTGTGGAGCGTGCTGTCGTTCAACCGTGAGTATCTGTTTGGCTTCGGTCGGTTCCCGGTAAGTCATATTGGCTGCCGCTTCACTTTGCAGTAGGAGAATACCTAAAGCGTATATAGTTTGCCCGAGAAAATCGAGGGATTTAGCTCCGACTTGATATTTATAAATGTCTACCCAAATGCCATGCTTTTGAAGTCGTTTGAAAACAATGGCCAGGTGCAGAGGATGAGATTCT